TAGGAAGATACTGAAGCATTCATGTGGTGCAGAGCATTGAGCTCAGGAGTGTTTCAAGGATCCTCTGGCATCATACCAGTTTTCTAATTCTTATCCAGTATTTTAACTGGAACCAAAAAATTTCCAGCGTGATGATTACTAGGGTTTGATTACATTTAGTAAGCCATGGAGCCCCTTCTCTTCGAAGACAAACTGCTGCCAGAGACAGATTTACCACTGACCAACAGTGTTTTTATGCAAATGTGCCTGAGTGAGTGCAGTAACCCCAAGTTATAATAGAGTCATTCAATCTCTTGCCAGGACAGCAATATTTATATATTGCAAAGATAAATTGGATATCAAAACCAGTTCCATTACAGAGGGAAAGTTCTCTATGTAAATCAGTATTTCTAATCACACCATGCTTCTTCCCACCCCCTACCCCATTTTGCTTTCCTTGCTTTATCTTCATAGATTAATTCCAAATGTGTTTTTTCTCTTGTGTGTTCACTTTGAATATTGAAGCGTTCAGCTAATGCCAAGCTAATGGATAACATGAACTCCTCACTAGGAAACTTTAAAGTCTCCTTTAAAGTGTATTTCTTCATGCCTTGGGGAAGTGCTATAAAGGGCTTATATTCACCCACAGTGTTTTGCCTGCCACTAGTGCAAGTTCCTGTTTGGACTTCTCTTTCTCCTGCTGCCTGATGGGAAGAAATGGGCAGTCAGTGCAAGGGGTCAGATGCCCTCTGCATGCTACTCACCATCTGCTGACGGCAGCGCTCCCCCGGGAGAGCTGGCTTTGTTTGCTGACGGGCCTAATGTGAGGAGACACGTGAAGTACTTTGGTTTGTGGAAGAGGGCAGGAGAGGCATGGTGCTGTGAAAACATTCCCACACACTCTAATGGCTCATTCACATAGAAAACAAGCGAGAGCCTTCAGCTCTTTCCCAGAGCTCAAAGTAGAACAAATGGACTCAAGAACTCCAAGGCACCAGTCAAAAAACACTTTCCTAATGCACTGAGATGCTCTCTGTGACAGCTTACCTATGAGACTTCAACTCTCATTTAGGCAACTAAATGACCTGGCTAGATGGAACACTGCTCAGTATCTGGTAGTTGCTGTTGTTCCCCATTAGCTGCTAATTTCTTTTTGAAAATCTAATCTTCAGTTTCCTAAATCTAAACCTTCTAAAATTGGTAATTAATAAGTGAAGTATGCATTTGAGAATTTTATCAGTACCATCACCAATTGATTATTTTCTCTTTAGAATAAAATCTGCAGAACACAGAAGAAATACAACATGCCTAAGAGATGGTTTTTGCTTTATAGCTGGTAGACACACACGGATGCACACACAAGTATGTAACTTCAGAATATAATTTGAATATCAAAAAGAAGTGACTCTCTGAATTAGGTCTCAAACACAGTCGGGATACATGCCATGGAAAAGTCCACATTATAAGCTGCTTTAAGTGATGAATGGTGTTTAGTGAACAGAGGCATTCATTATTCCGGTCTACAATATATAAGATGTATCAGAAGACAACACGAACAGCGATACTAGGTCATCTCACAAGTTCATGTAGCTCAGTATCTGATCTCTGACACCAACCTGTATTGCATGATTAGGAATAAAGCATAAGAGGGCAAACTTACAGAGATTCTTCCACTAAGATACTCTACTAAATGTGTATCAATTTGTGATTTAGGGAATTTCAAAGTCTAATATGGCATTGTGGTATAACAAAATATTATGTAAAAAGGATTTCCTGCTTTTTCTAGAGTGCTATGAAACTCCTTAGTTCTTACATTTTGAGAAATACTGAATTACAATACTGTCTTCACCTACTCCATGATGCTCATTATTTTCTCTGCCTATATCATCTTTCCTCCATTCATCTCCTTACTTCTTGAAGGGTCCTAGTCTACTTTATTTCTACAGAAGCTGCTCCATATTTGTTACCATGTTTGTTGCTCTGTCATTTCCAGTGAATTTATATCTTCCTGTGCATTGCTGAGTGGACTAGAATTACAAACTCCGTACTCCATGGATGTACCAATCGTAGTATTTGATGATATTTGATCACTACTGAGCTGATATTTTCATGGAAGTAGCCACAGTAACTCCATAATCCTAATTCCTGCATGGCAGTGTTAATTGTAGCCCAGCAAAATAAATATGTGTGTGTATATATGGACATACACACACAGCCCCCATATTTATTTTCAAATGTAATATATATGCATATAACAGTCTACATATATGTAGTTAGCTCTGTTTCCCCTCATGGGCATGTGTTGAATTTTCAGCCTTCGTATTGCCCCATTACTCAGTACTGTAAAATTCTGGAGCTTTTTTTTATAACTGGCTTTTGTCGTTACTTCATTTGAATCCTCTGTAATGCACTATCTACTTCTATTCCCAGATTATTTAGAGTCATATGTTGAGCAGTACAGAGGCCAGCACAGATCTTCCTAAGAAATCAGTGATAACCTTCCGCCAGAATGAAGAATGACTTCCCCTTTACTATCTTTTAATTTAATAGAAGACCTGATCTCTTTTAATAGAGCTTAGTCTCTTTCTGAGTCTTTGGTGGGGACCTTTTAAGAACAAATGTAATCCATTCATTGATATCTTGACCCTTTATATTCAACCAGTGTACCTGTAGCCATGTAACATCTTTGAAGAATGGGACTAAAATATACACACTCCCTTTTCCACCTTTGTGCACTCTGAGTTCTTATCAAAGTCAGTATAGCTCAAGGATTTGTTGAAGTGGACATGAATATTGAAAACCATCAAATCAAATATATTACCAGGGGCAGGAGTGCAAACTAACCCTATAAGTCAATAATTGCATGTCACAATTGCTTTAGTTTTTACTGCTTCTGAATGAAGGTTATGTCTAATTTAAGCTTGATTCTAAAAATACTCATATTTGGCCCAAAATAACCCCTCTTTGGGAATGTGCCACTGCAAATGTGAAGTTTTTGAAAAGACTTCACTTTTATGGTAGAGTATTGTTCAGTTCCTTCTTCCAATGTTTAATATACCACATTTGTTGACATGCGTGGTACAGATCAAAGGGCAGGATTTGGCCCTTAGTTACCTGCTGTTACTAGCACTAATCTCACAGCTATTGAAAAATGATGCATCAAATTTATATCACTGCAAATGTCACTATTCTGAATCTTGCATATGTTGCCCGAGCTGTCAGTAATAAAAATCTGTTCTTAATTATTCTCCCATTTAAAAAATAATAATTTTCTAATAACCCAGTGAATAGGAATTTGATGTTTTCTTTGGCTGGAAACACTTTAATGATTTAGTACATCTATAAAGTCCTGTGTGCTTTTATAATATAATAGCTTTTGCAAATGAGTAGGACTTTCCCATTTAAATCCCCATGGCTATCAAGAAAAGCAGAATTTGTTTAAATCTGAGTTAAGTTTAAAAGTGAGTAACTTAAGGAAAACATTTTAAGATAAAAACAATGCAGCAGAAAGCCAGACATACAAAATCTGCGTTTTATGTGCTAAAGGGATGCAGACTGCAAAAATGCATAGTTAAAATTAATCATTATATATATTTTAATCTTTTGTCCATCTTATTGTTTTTCCTTAATAGGAAATAATAGGATTTATTTTTGCTTCATTAATATTATGTGGAACTGATTTCTCTGTGATGAGAAAATGAAAATAGCAAAGAATATTAAGAAAGTATATGAATAAAAATGAAGGCTTTGGATAGTATCAGATCTTTCAAAGCCCAAAGAAGTGAACAGAAAAGACTCCCTTTGAAACTTTGGACTAGTCTCATAGATATGATAATTAGCATGAAATTCTACCTTCATTAAAGGTTGAAGGGTTTAAAATATACAAAGAGTAATGTGCTCTCCTTTCTTTGTTTTTTCAATGTGATGATAGACTCATTTTAGCTCATTGCTGTGCTTCACCAAATAGTGTACCTTTTGGAAGCATGGATATTAACAGCCAATCTATAAAACACACATAATATACAGCTAAAAAAAAAAAATGTTTCTTTTTCTTCTCCATCTGGTCTTGGCAACATGTATTTAAACAGGAACATATAAAACATTGCATACAAAACACCCTAGTTGATTCTGGATAATGTTTTCATTACCTTGCTTGGTTGCTTCTCAAACCAGACTGTTATATTACTGTTTAGGTTTCTGGTTGTATCTCTGTTTGTATCTGCAATTCTAGACAGAATTTGTCCTTGCTCCTTGAAGTCAAGCAAACTAATATTTATTTTACCAGAGACAGTATTTATTTAAGTATTTTTTGAAGTTTAATGCCAAAATGCTACGTAATCAAAAAGCAGCATGAAACAAAAATGTATAACTGGGTGCAAACAAGCACTACAAAGTTCAGGAAAGCTAGATGAATAGTTGCTGATATGCTGATATAAGTGGGGGTTTTTGCCCTTTTTGCATTCAATCTGCGCGCTGAGACAAAAATCCAATGTAGAAAATGATATGTGGTCTCATAATTAAGGCTATAATAATCCATGCACACAAAGGCTGAATTAAAGTTGCACATATTGTCTGGAAAGGATTGTATAAAAGAGAACCCAACAGGGTCTGGAGCACTGCCTTTTCCTTTACCAGGTTTTACATATCTGTTGAAAAAATGGACAGCATAAATTTCTAAACTGCAATCATCTCATTGTATGAGTCTCAGGTAACCTAAATGAAGGAGTGACTCCTATTTTCTCATATAATCAGATTATTTGTTCAGTATGTATGTTTTAAAACATACCATGGAGTTTATAAATGTATTTTAGAATCACTTTGGTCAGGATATTTTAGAATGGTGTGACAACAGGCCCAGATGTATCCAACCTTAAAGCTGCAATCACTTCTTAAGAATCATTTTTGCCCGTTCTGTTCTCCACATCTTTTATTATCAGCTGGTCTTTTGACACTTCTTGCCAGTCAGGATGACCACTGTCAAAATGCTGTCTAGACAAAATGTGTTTTTTCAACTTTTGCAGATCTAAGTGACCAGCTTATGGAAGTGGTTGGTCTGGAAGGAGCCATGGAGATGGGACAGATATACACAGGACTGAAAAGTGCTGGACGGCGGCTTGCCCAGTGCTCATCTGTTGTCATCAGGTATCGGCAGCTTTACTGTTTCATTACAACAATACAGTGCAAATTATATTTTCATATATTATCAGTCACTTTCTTTGGTAGTTTAATAGTCAGAATTACTGTACTTATTGCTTGTAAAAGTATCATTTTTATACATGAAATATACCTATTCTGTCCATACCCTATGCCCATGCATTTTCCTTTCTTTAAATGTGTCAAAAAAATAGAAAAAGGGTGTTTACATTCAATCTTCACATGTTGCATTCAATTGTCATTTCATCCTGTGAAGAAATATTGTCAAGCAGTTGGAGCAGAAGGAGTGAGGCATGAACATCTTGGGGTTTATTATTGACATAGACTCCATGCAATTTTGAGCAAAAAGTCATTTACCATTACTTTGACACGTTTTAACCCGCCTATAATGCATACCTCACCAGGGAATAGTAGCATGTAATTAGTATTTGTAAAGCACTTTTTTGATCTGTAGAAGTCAAAGTGCTCTGGTTTTAATGCATTTGTTATTTACTGAACACTGACAAGTCACTACTAATAAATGTGTTGGTATGTGTAAGCCACTAATGGTGGAGGATGCTAATTTAGTTGTGTTTTATCGTTTACTATGCTAAAAGTGACCAGATCATTCACAACAGAGGAACCTTAGATTAGGACTCAAGGAGAAAGTAATTATTCTAATTTCTGGATTAGATAAGGACTGGAAAAGAGAGAGATGGTCAACTCTTCCTTGGTGAAGAATTTCTCAGGAAGAACTTTCCAAAATCTTAATAAAATCATAAGCTAAACAATTATAAGCCCCAGAAGCCCAAAATGAGCATAAAACAGATGAGCAACAATAAAAACTTTAAGAAAATAAGTAGGATTTGCCAAAGTGCCTGACATATTTTTGAGATTCTCCTAAAGACTGGGTGATGTTGACTTCAAAAGTACTCTCTCATGTGGATGAGTAAGAGAAATAAGATCACAGAGGCATTCCAACCTTCTCAGATGCCAAGAGATAATGTTTATAGTCCCACATCAGCAGGACCACAACTTCAAAAGATTGAGAGTAAGAGCTCTTAGAACATTCTTCCCTTCCTCCACTTACAGCCATAGATAGCAGTGGATAATCCCATGAACTGTTAGTCATTTTCAAATAATGTCCAAGCCAGAATCTCCATTGACCCACATGAGCGCTCAGCTGACTCATTTTCCCATGTTATTTCTAATAGTCTTGCATGCAAATTATTATAATGCAGAAATATGAGGTTGGAAAAGAGCAAAAAAAGACCATCCCTTTTTTTTTTTATTATTTCTCATTTGCCTACACTTTTCTTAACATGGTATCCAAAACTAGACAGGGAACACTGGCTGTAGCTTTCTGTTAAAATCAGTGCCCCTTTACTTACAATTTAACTTTATAACATAGTGCGTTAAAGCCTCTGAATATAGCACAACTGTCATGTTATTTGACTGCACTGTCTAACCCAGAGTTAGACACAAGCATAAAAACATCTTTTATGGTTCTAATAAATGGTGATGATAAAGCTAAGATTTATTTCTCACTTGTTTTGTAGTAGTCAGTCTAAATTATAAAAAATAGCGGAGGTTCCATTGTTTTTTCAGTTAATAAGGTTTATTCCTGAAGTTCTTGCATAATTCACTCTTTATTTCACAAATTACAGACCATTCTCCCATGAGAGACTAGCATATTAATAGCAAGATGTGCAAATGTTTGCAATGTTTTTGCTTTGTGTGTTGAAAATCAAACTAAGCCTACTAAGTGTGTTGAAAATCAAACTAAGCCTACTAAGTGACTATGCTACTTCTGTAAGCTTGTTGGGTCATACTGAAGATTACATAGCAGCTTAGGGGTAAAGCAGGATATATATGTGTGTGATATATATGTGTGTGCCATCACATATATGCCTCCTTAATAAATACATTTATCAATTTTGTCTAGTTACTTTTTCTTATACTGTGAAATATATTCCTTTAGGACCAGCAAGTCTCTGCCTATGCAGATAGATGGGGAACCTTGGATGCAAACTCCTTGCACGGTAAGAATACTGTTATCTCTGGGAAGAGAGCTGAACAAAAAAAATTAAGAACTTTTTTTTTAATGAGTAACAAAAATTACAATAGTCAGAAATATTAACTGATGATTCTTTAATGGTAGAGAATCTTTTGGTTTAAAAGGCAACTATTGTCAACAGCATTAACTTAATCTACTTACATAACATCTTCACACACTGTTATTACGTAGTTCAACACCCACTGCATTTTCAATTTATCATGCTGGTTTTTTCCACAGGTTAGGATGGAATAAAAAAACCATTTATTTCAAAAATTTGGAAAATACTCAAAGGTTGCAGTTCCAGCATCCCTTTACTCAATGTGATTATTTATTTATGATCAGATTTATAGTCTCTGTTGCTGAGGGAAAAAAAACAATGTTTGTTTTGATGCTAAAATGTATAAAGTAACTAATTATTCTTTAAAAATTTAGGAAGACTTTCCGTTGTACTTTTGAGAGTTCATATCAAGGAGGTTTTATTTAAACCTGACATCTGGACTGTGCTGATTGAATTATACAATAGAACTAATGTTTTAAAAATTCTTACAGTTTAAAGGAGAAATGAAGGAAATTATTTAGTCTCTTCTTTAAGTGCCCACACATATGAAGTGAGGGCAGCTAAAGAGCAATCCAGGTAGGATAGTATAGGAGAGGACAGAACAGGGTAGGGAGGAGCTTGCTCAGATGAGGTTCTTTGAGTGATTATTTGCAGATGACACAAGAAAGGTGTAACTCTAAGAACTCTCCATTTTTATCTCTCTCTGATAAATTATAGCAACAAACAGAGCATTTGGAGAAGATATTGAAGAAATTTAAGCTCTTGATTGTTGAATATAGTCTTAGTAATGTCTTTTAATACAGAGTTTTACCAATTTTGTTTCCCTAAAGACCCATGGTTTTAGGTAGATGAATTGCTGTAGCCTTGCAGCTTGTAAGTATGACAAAACAGCAATGCGATAAAGAAGAATTCCCAGTACAGATTGGAGTAAGTCTCCAAACCAGGGTACTGGATCACTTCCATGAGCTTTATGTCTGTAGTGGAATTAAAAGCTACACAAAGAAGTCAAAGGGAGCACCCTCAGTAAGGTGCTAACAGGCATGGCAGCTGATAATACGTGTGTTAAGATGACAGGAAAGGGTTGCGATAGTTCATGTTTGCTGGGTACCCCATTTACAGCTGAACAGCGGGGAGAGTGCCTGAACTCTAATTCTCTATGGTAAGTGCTCAAATGCTGAAATGAGAGGAGAACCATGTGAACACACACTGTGTAAAGGCAGAACAGTAGGGATTTTATGAGATTTATTCCAGGGAACATTTTGGAGTTAAGAGATATCATTATCTTTACCTCTTCTACAGCGATGGCTCAGTGCAGAACAACAGTACTGAACCCAGCAGTTACTTGTTCAAGAAAAAGACATGTAATTTTTCAGTTGCCAGATTACAGAAGAGAACTTATGGAAGGATGCTGGCAATAACACGTGCTTTTTTTTTGTCTTGATTGCTTGCTCTGTGCAAAATCCCTGCTATCTGATTGATAATGCTAGCAGAAGCTGCCTGCACGATTGAGGACAAACGTGGAAAAAGAGACAGTTCTTAAATTTCAATTACTGCCTTGAGGAAACAGTAAATTATTACTGATAATTACTGCTGTCCAGTCGAAGAAGCATTTGAAAGGGGATAGAAATGGCATATACTCTTCTGTGGAACCCATCCTTTTTGCTATACTATTGTTAAGAGAATAGACTGTATGTTACATAAGAAAACCGTACTGTTGAATGTATTTATTTCCTCTGAGCAGAAAATATATGAACTGTTTGTCTAGACTACTGCACCTCTATGAACTTAGATATAGAAATATTATTTTATGTTACATTATTAACTTTTCAGGAGATGTTTTTTCTCTGCTGGGGAGCTTAATGTATTTATTGCAATTGCTCCTTGCATTATTGTACATGTACCCTGCTCTGTTTTCTACATCTTACAAAGGAAAAAACAGGTATGGTCCAACCTCTGCCCTTCCCACTAATTCTACCTACCCTACAATTTTTCCTTGAAGTTCTCTGCAAAGTACATAGGAATTCCTCCTGAGACAATGACAAAGACGGACGTTAGCTAGTTTAAAATGTGATTTCCAAGTGTGGGCTTCAGAGAGGTCTTTGTTTGGAAGCCAAAATGTGTTTGATTACATAAGTATCAGGATGAGTTCTCAGCTATGTGTATCCAAAACCAGGGTCTGAGAAAAACCCCATGAAATCGAAATAAATTCTTACGTGTAGCCAACCATGTAGCCAATTATTTGAACCTACAAGAGCTCAAATTTCAGAAAAAAAAAAATGAGGAAACCAGTATAAGAATCATGAGCTTTTGTCTTCTTTAGAGGCAATACTGCAGTTTTCTCCCAAAATTACCTGAAAGTAAATGATTAATGATCAGTTTTTAAATGGAAAAAAAATGTGATGATCAGATAAGGAAATCGATGAGTTTTGTTCCTTAAGAAACGTATGAGTGTTTGGTGTTCCTTTTATTTCCCCTCTTGGAA